AATCTCCCGACTTGAATTTTCGAAACCAACGCCTTGCAGTACGTTCATCCACAGCACTATCCCCAAACAATTGACATATGCGGGGACTTGATGCAGCTGCTGATAAGCCCACTTTGAAGTCGTAAAGCAAACAGCCCTGAACGAGATCTCTAGACACTTCTATCCTTCTCACAGCTGTCCGGCTTATAACTGATGGCCGGACAGAAATTTTTTGGTTACCTTGTATATATATATATATATATATATATATATATATATATATATAATTATTTATTTAAAAATATGATTCCAAAACGCTACATAAGAAGTCTCATGTTTCAAAACAAGAGCCAAAACTTCAATATAATTATTTAAATTAAATTGAGTTAAAATAAGCTCCGTTCCATCTTCAAGCGAAATTTTTTTGGAATCCAAAAAAAAAATGTAATGTAAAACGTATAATACGTTTTACATTACATTTTTTTTTAATTACAGCTAAAATATGGTGTTTAATGATTTTTCGTATAGCAAATTAGTCCTTCTTATAACTATTGTGCATTTCATTACCATAAAATATGTTGATGTTTTTTGTGTGTGTGTGTGTGTGTGTGTGTGTGTGTGTGTGTGTGTGTGTGTGTGTGTGTGTGTGTGTGTGTTTTATTATTGGTTCCGTATACTTTTTGTAAGTATAATTGAATTTTTTTTATCAATGATGTATTTGAGAAAATTATTATTGACTAATGTGTGTCTGATGAGATTTAGTTCATGCAGAAATATTTTTGAAAGCGGAATTTAGTCTTGGTCTATTTAGAAAGTTTTTTTTTATCAATGGGAGTGGCATGCTGAAAGTTTTTCTTATAAAATAGAAAGATAATCACCCAACAACTATATATAGGTCACACTATAACATGTTTGACACGAAGACCCACACCTTTCTGACCATAGCTCAATTAGATCACATTTTTAAACATTCATGGAGATCTACCGGGCCCTATTCGTAACATACTTGTTGACAACACAAATATAATAGCATCATCTACACGCAAAAAAAAGTCTACAAATAATGGAAGCCTTATTAATAAAAACAACTCAATAATATCAACTATGAACATGGACACAATATCTTGACCGTGTTTTGAAAATGAAAACGTTATATAAATACATACATGCAACAAACTATTTCTTGTTAACAGTTAATATATTTCAAACTTGAAAATGGCTAAATGTATAGCCGGAACAATAAAAAAATGTTTTGAACAATAAAAAGATTGAGAAATTAAACATTTAAAGTTTTTAGACACATTGGGTTGTATCTTAATATTTTTTGTTTTATTATTTCACTTAGGTTCATATATATATATATATATATGTGTGTGTGTGTGTGTGCATGTGTGTGTGTGTGTGTGTATAAATACACATATATATGTATAAATATATTAGTGGAGTGAAACTTATAAACATATCCAAAAAAAAAAAGGAAAAGATGTAAAAAGATATTTTTCTTAGTCCAGTCTCTTCTTTTTATTCGACAGGAAATAGACTAGACACAGGATGATTTCTTAATGACTCCACGTACTGCTCTAACTCGAAGTTTACATTCGACTGCTACTCAGTTTATCTCATGGGTCGCCTACTTGATATGTTGTCCTTTCTTTATACTTGGTACACTGATGTAGTTGTCGTCTAAAGTGTCGTGTGTGATACATCCATGGGCCAATGGTCCGAAATTAGGGAGGTCCATGGTGTTTGTTCGAACCATTGTACTAATATAGAGGAGTCCATTATTTTCTATCACAACTTGAAGCAGGGAGCTAGTTCCTTTCTTTCGAAGCGGATTTGTTTTTGAAGTTACCTTCTTCTAGCCTTTGTCTAAACAGACAAGGCAGCAGGTGGTTTTCATTCAGAGTTTTTCTTCCCCTAGCCACTCAAAGCTATATGGTCCAGTCTGTCATGCTATTTTTACTTTTCATGTTCCAATTTACCATTGATTGGCGGTTCTTTTCAAGAGCAGCCGTCAGATTTACTTAATCAGATCTGACGGATTTGCTATTGAAACAGGAGTAAATGGTAGTGCGGTCTGCATAAATACCTAATTCCGAACTGATGACACCGGGGAGCTCATTGATGAAGATCAGAAACGGTGTAGGACCCAGGATAGAGCCTTGGGGGACACCCGAGGTCGTGTGAAAGGATCTGGAAGCGAGCCCGTATAAAACAACCTCGATTTCACGATTTGATAGGAATGACTGGATTAAATCAAACATTAGTCATGTGACGCCGTAGCCCTGGAGCTTGTGCAAAAGATCAGCATGTCAACCCCTGTCAAACGACCTCGAGATATCTAGAGCCATACCTCAAGCTTCACTGTTCTTATCCAGAGCTTGATATCCAAATTCATTGACGTCAGGAGTAGACCTGACAAAATCGAAGCCATATTGGTTTGTCCGAGAAGAGGTTGTGAGAAGTATGATGCTTAACCACTTCAGCATTTATTAAAGCCTCGAATAATTACCCTTCCCCCAACAAAAAAAGAAGTAAGGGACTAATAGGGAGATAACATGAGAGGTCAGAGGGTTTTCCAGAATTCTTAAAAACACGAACTACATAGGAGAACTTCAAACAAACTGAGAAGCAGGAAGCAAAGCACTCAACTTAACCTTACCTCACCTCAAATGATTGACGAGAGGAAGGATTGAGAATTTGCTGTTGTTCAGCACACTCTTGCAGAGCCGCCAGTAATCTCTAGAGCCAAAGTTGTTAGAGGTTTTTATTCTATCCGCAAACAGTAACTTATGGAGAACATGCTTGCACTCATTAAGAGCAGAGACAAAGAGACATCTATTGCAATCAGACCTGTTAATCTGGTATAGACTGAAGAAGTGATTCCCGTGGGCTGTATGGGCCAAGCATACATGAAACATGATCATGGTTTCACTTGGTATTTCCGTGCTGGAATGACAGCTTCGATGCCGGCTTTCACCCAGAAGGAAACTCCAGAGGCACATTTTTTTTTTTAAATTAAAATCCTCGTTCCAAGGGACGTGGCGATGGGAGTCATGGAATGATTTCCAGTCAGCGCGTTTATAACATAGAGATATCCTGTTGATAGGGGGTTCTTGGCTAATGGGAAAGCGAAAAGTGATGTTTACAGACGCTACCGCATGATCGGAATTCCCAAGAGGGCAGAGCTGCAGAGTGTGACATGAGTCAGAGGTAGAGGCAAAGAAGTGATCAACAAGAGAAGCACGTCCATCAGAGAAACGCATGGGGAAGTCCACCACTTGTGCGAGATTGAGTGATTGAGAATCCCAGGGTTTGGATGCCAGTGAGTTCAGTGACAGAGTGATTAATCTACTGACATTGTGGACATTGAAGTCGCCAAACACAAAGATATTTGTAAATGTGTAGCGAGAAACAGGCTTATTATATTACCAGAAATACTATCTAGCACGCAATAGTCATGAGAGGGTGGAAAATGTTTGTTGTAACTTAGGAAAGGTTACTGAATAGAATAATCATACGAAGGCTGGTAATGCTCGATAATACTTAGGACAAGAACAACACATATAAGATTCGCCAGCGGCGCGTAGAAGTAGTAGTCAACTGCTAGAATTGAGTCTAGTGAATTTCACAATGAATCTCCAATTGCAGGCCAATATACAGTATTTACTACTGTATTTATGTCAATGGGGACATACACATCTTCGTTCGTAGGTATGCTACAACAATGGTATACAAAGAGATAGCAGATTGAGTTTAGTAGTTAAAGACGGAGGTACATGTAAGAATAATCTGGAAACTCAAGAGAGAGTTCCCTAGCCAACGGGAGATGTTCCTGAACATAAACTCACAAGCCAAGCCCGAGGACACAAGAGTCTTTCATAAATTGAAGAAGATAGAGAATTCAAAGAAGGGGATTGAAGAATGTTTGAAGAAGAAAGATTCCACACTGCGAATACTATAAATGTTAGAGAAACAAAGGTTTAGAGATTTAGGTGATATTTGTCTTGCTGGTTTGATTTTTTTTCTTTGCTCGCATATCGTCAGGGTGTGTTATTTAGTTTAGAAAAAGTCTGAGAATAATAGTAACTGTTGATCATCTGAGGTAACATGTGCGGGCTGGGAATTGGCACAGACTGCAGCAAACTGTGACTTCGGAGTTGCCCGAAGGCGCTTGCAAGGACAACTTTCCATATGTGATATGCCACTGCAAGAAAGCCGATATTATGCGACTGTTGATCAGGCCAGCCTCTCTAAATGCTAGAGTTCAGGATCCTAACTACTAGCTAGGAAGCAACAACCAGAAAACTGCCAACTGGTAGTCTCTGTATGAAGAGACGTAGCCACCATCCACACATATCAACAAAATTTCATGACAGTACAACTATTAAAGCATCAGAAGATGAAAGGAACCGGGATCCCCTTTCTAATAAGGAAACAAGGGGTGAGCCTCAACTCCTTTTCAAGAGAAAGGGGAGGAGTATGGACCGGGCGATAGGAACGCATATATACCCCTATTAAAAAATGATACATGTGCTGTCCATCTCCCCATCGTAAAACTATAAAGTCTCTACTGGTCCTGACCAACAAAACCATTAAAAGAAAAAAAGAAATTTGGAGTCTGGTGTGACCTCCTGTTACGAACTGCTAATGCTGTGTCTTCATTGTTTGATTTTGTCATAATGTAATTTTGGGGTTTCTTTCATTTCATCTGTTTTTTGTTTGTTTTTGTTTTTTGTTTTTTCATTTTGGCTACTGTCGTTGCTACATTACGAAACAGTTATTGGGAGTTGGAGAAGGAAGGAGATGGGAAAATACATTTTTGTGCAGACATCTATGAATATGTATGTTTTTTATTTTTTATATCTAAATTTTGTCATTTTGTTTTGAGTTTATTATACTCAAAACAAATGAATGAGTACTTTCTTTAAAATGCTTCAGCAATTTCTCTTTTAACTCATCTCACATTCAAGCACCAAAAAGAATATTGAAAGAAATTGAATTCCATATCAGATACTTACGATTAAGATAGAAAACTTTACAAACAAGTGCAAATATTTCAGTTTCGTCATATTCAGAATCTAAAAATAAAATAAGAGATATTTTTGAAGATAAACGTCACGATTAGCAGGTTCGTCACAATTAGTAAGATAAAATGTGCAATAACGAAACGAAATAATCAAATGATCAATTAAATGTGTTATGTTCAAGATAATGTAGGTAATGCAAAAATGTGCAATAATGAAACGAAATAATCAAATGATCTATTAAATGTGTGTTATGTTCAAGATAATGTAGGTAATGAAAAATGTGCAATAATGAAACGAAATAATCAAATGATCAATTAAATATTTATGTTATGTTCAAGATAATGTCTATTAAAGGTAATGCAAAAATGTGCAATAATGAAACGAAATAATCAAATGATCTATTAAATGTGTTATGTTCAAGATAATGTAGGTAATGAAAAATGCAATAATGAAACGAAATAATCAAATGATCAATTAAATGTGTTATGTTCAAGATAATGTAGGTAATGAAATAAAAAAATGTGCAATAATGAAAAACGAAATAATCAAATGATCAATTAAATGTGTTATGTTAGAAAAAAAAGATAATGTAGGTAATTTGAGAAAATAATGAAAAAATGTGCAATAATGAAACGAAATAATCAAATGATCAATTAAATGTGTTATGTTCAAGATAATGTAGGTAATGAAAAAAAATGCAATAATAAACGAAATAATCAAATGATCAATTAAATGTGTTATGTTCAAGATAATGTAGGTAATGAAAAATGTGCAATAATGAAACGAAATAATCAAATGATCTATTAAATGTGTTATGTTCAAGATAATGTAGGTAATGAAAAAATGTGCAATAATGAAACGAAATAATCAAATGATCAATTAAATGTGTTATGTTCAAGATAATGTAGGTAATGCAAAAATGTGCAATAATGAAACGAAATAATCAAATGATCAATTAAATGTTATGTTCAAAATAATGTAGGTAATGAAAAAATGTGCAATAATGAAACGAAATAATCAAATGATCAATTAAATGTGTTATGTTCAAGATAATGTAGGTAATGCAAAAATGTGCAATAATGAAACGAAATAATCAAATGATCTATTAAATGTGTTATGTTCAAAATAATGTAGGTAATGAAAAAATGTGCAATAATGAAACGAAATAATCAAATGATCAATTAAATGTGTTATGTTCAAGATAATGTAGGTGAAATAATCAAATGATCAAAAATGCAAAATGTGCAATAATGAAACGAAATAATCAAATGATCTATTAAATGTAATCAAATGTTCAAAATAATGTAGGTAATGAAAAATGTGCAATAATGAAACGAAATAATCAAATGATCAATTAAATGTGTTATGTTCAAGATAATGTAGGTACGAAAAATGTGCAATCATTAAACGAAATAATCAAATGATCAATTAAATGTTATGTTCAAATAATGTAGAAAATCAAAATGAAAAATGTGCAATAATGAAAACGAAATAATCAAATGATCAATTAAATGTGTTTATGTTCAAGATAATGTAGGTAATGAAAAATGTGCAATCATTAAACGAAATAATCAAATGATCAATTAAATGTGTTATGTTCAAGATAATGTAGGTAATGAAAAATGTGCAATAATGAAACGAAATAATCAAATGATCTATTAAATGTGTTATGTTCAAGATAATGTAGGTAATGAAAAATGCAATAATGCAAATAATCAAATGAATTAAAACGAAATAATCAAATGATCTATTAAATGTGTCAAATGTTCAAGATAATGTTAGGATAAATGTAATGAAAAAATGTGCAATAATGAAACGAAATAATCAAATGATCAATTAAATGTGTTATGTTCAAGATAATGTAGGTAATGAAAAAATGTGCAATCATTAAACGAAATAATCAAATGATCAATTAAATGTTATGTTCAAAATAATGTAGGTAATGAAAAAAATGCAATAATGAAACGAAATAATCAAATGATCAATTAAATGTGTTATGTTCAAGATAATGTAGGTAATGAAAAAAATGTGCAATAATGAAACGAAATAATCAAATGATCAATTAAATGTGTTATGTTCAAAAGATAATGTAGGTAATGAAAAAAATGTGCAAAATGAAACGAAATAATCAAATGATCAATTAAATGTGTTATGTTTCAAGATAATGTAGGTAATGAAAAATGTGCAAAATGAAACGAAATAATCAAATGATCATGTTCAAGATTGTAGGTAATGAAAAATGTGCAATAATGTTCAAGATAATGTAGGTAATGTAGGTAATGAAAAAATGTGCAATAATGAAACGAAATAATCAAATGATCAATTAAATGTGTTATGTTCAAGATAATGTAGGTAATGAAAAAATGTGCAATCACAAAACGAAATAATCAAATGATCAATTAAATGTTATGTTCAAAGATAATGTAGGTAATGAAAAAATGTGCAATAATGAAACGAAATAATCAAATGATCAATTAAATGTGTTATGTTCAAAATAATGTAGGTAATGAAAAATGTGCAATAATGAAACGAAATAATCAAATGATCAATTAAATGTGTTATGTTCAAGATAATGTAGGTAATGAAAAATGTGCAATCATTAAACGAAATAATCAAATGATCAATTAAATAGGTGTTATGTTCAAGATAATGTAGGTAATGAAAAAATGTGCAATAATGAAACGAAATAATCAAATGATCAATTAAATGTGTTATGTTCAAGATAATGTAGGTACGAAAAAATGTGCAATAATTAAACGAAATAATCAAATGATCAATTAAATGTGTTATGTTCAAGATAATGTAGGTAATGAAAAAATGTGCAATAATGAAACGAAATAATTAAATGATCAATTAAATGTGTTATGTTCAAGAAAAATGTAGGTAATGAAATAAAAAAATGTAAATCATTCAAAACGAAATAATCAAATGATCAATTAAATGTGTTATGTTCAAGATAATGTAGGTAATGAAAAAATGTGCAATAATGAAACGAAATAATCAAATGATCAATTAAATGTGTTATGTTCAAGATAATGTAGGTAATGAAAAAATGTGCAATCATTAAACGAAATAATCAAATGATCAATTAAATGTGTTATGTTCAAGATAATGTAGGTAATGAAAAAATGTGCAATAATGAAACGAAATAATCAAATGATCTATTAAATGTGTTATGTTCAAGATAATGTAGGTAATGAAAAAATGTGCAATAATGAAACGAAATAATCAAATGATCAATTAAATGTGTTATGTTCAAGATAATGTAGGTAATGCAAAAATGTGCAATAATGAAACGAAATAATCAAATGATCTATTAAATGTGTTATGTTCAAGATAATGTAGGTAATGAAAAAATGTGCAATCATTAAACGAAATAAAAATGATCAATTTAAATGTTATGTTCAAGATAATGTAGGTAATGAAAAAATTTAATGAAACGAAATAATCAAATGATCTATTAAAAATGTGTTATGTTCAAGATAATGTAGGTAATGCAAAAATGTGCAATAATGAAACGAAATAATCAAATGATCTATTAAATGTGTTATGTTCAAGATAATGTAGGTAATAAAAAATGCAATAATGAAACGAAATAATCAAATGATCAATTAAGACGTTATGTTCAAGATAATGTAGGTAATGGTGCAATAATGAAACGAAATAATCAAATGATTAATTAAATGTGTTATGTTCAAAATAATGTAGGTAATGAAAATTGCAATAATGAAACGAAATAATCAAATGATCAATTAAATGTTATGTTCAAGATAATGTAGGTAATGAAAAATGCAATAATGAAACGAAATAATCAAATGATCTATTAAATGTGTTATGTTCAAAATAATGTAGGTTAAAAAAATGTGCAACAATGAAACGAAATAATCAAAATGATCAATTAAATGTTATGTTCAAGATAATGTAGGTAATGAAAAATGTGCAATAATGAAACGAAATAATCAAAATGATCAATTAAATGTGTTATGTTCAAGATAATGTAGGTAATGAAAAATGTGCAATCATTAAACGAAATAATCAAAAATGATCAATTAAATGTTATGTTCAAGATAATGTAGAGGTAAAAAAATGCAATAATGAAACGAAATAATCAAATGATCTATTAAATGTTATGTTCAAGATAATGTAGGTGGTAATGAAAAATGTGCAATAATGAAACGAAATAATCAAATGATCAATTAAATGTGTTATGTTCCAGATAATAAAAGGTAATGCAAAAAATGTGCAATCATTAAACGAAATAATCAAATGATCGCAAAAATGTGTTATGTTCAAGATAATGTAGGTAATGAAAAAATGTGCAATAATGAAACGAAATAATCAAATGATCAATTTGTTATGTTCAAGATAATGTATAATGCAAAAAATGTGCAATCATTAAAACGAAATAATCAAATGATCAATTAAATATTTATGTTCAAGATAATGTAGTAATGAAAAAATGCAATAATGAAATGAAATAATCAAAATGATCTATTAAATGTTATGTTCAAGATAATGTAGGTAATGAAAAATGCAATCATTAAACGAAATAATCAAAAATCAAAAATGATCAATTAAAATGTGAAAAATATGTTCAAGATAATGTAGGTATGAAAAAATGCAATGAAAAATGAAACGAAATAATCAAATGATCAATTAAATGTGTTATGTTCAAAATAATGTAGGTAATGAAAAAATGTGCAATAATTAAAAACGAAATAATCAAATGATCAATTAAATGTGTTATGTTCAAGATAATGTAGGAGAAAATGAAAATAATGAAACGAAATAATCAAATGATCTATTAAATGTGTTATGTTCAAGATAATGTAGGTAATGAAAAAATGTGCAATAATGAAACGAAATAATCAAATGATCAATTAAATGTGTTATGTTCAAGATAATGCGTAATGAAAAAATGTGCATCATGAAACGAAATAATCAAATGATCAATTAAATGTGTTATGTTCAAGATAATGTAGGTAATGAAAAATGCAATCATTAAACGAAATAATCAAATGATCAATTAAATGTGTTATGTT